AATTTAAAAATAAAAATAAAAATGAACATTATGATACCCTGATGTGTGTATCTCCAGCAGAAAATGCATAAAATGTACTATGGGTGTGTGTGAACAGGAATAAGGTAAACACGAGTAGTAGAAGAATGTGAAGAGAAAAGAGAAAAGAAACCTAATTTGGTGGTAGCAGAGCGCTAACACAGAAACAGCTTGGTAATGAACACATAGCTAATGAACACATAGCTAGGAATGTACATACATCACTAGTCACAGATGACAGATCAGGGTCGCTCAATCCCTAGAACAGTACAACAAACAAGAGTGCTTCCTCAGCAGACCTAGACAAATAGTCTGGAATTTGATTCCACTTGCACATTTGTAGAAACCAGTGATGCCGTAGGAATATACATACATCACTAAAGAAGCCGAACTGCTAACCGTGTCTCGAAAACACCACAAAAACAGTAGAGGGAGAGACCAACGCGCAGAATCGATAATAGCCATCCTGGGCGTCTTGTAAGTAAAGTTCATTTCACTATAGAGGTTGCGCACAACGAAGAGTCGTAAACTGTCAACCGTCCGGGTTCGAGAAACGAAAGTTGCTACAAAGATCTGCCCAAAACGCGACCGAAACAGAGCAGATCTACTAGAATATGTTTGTCCCCTGGATTACTGAAATACTGATATTTTACAACTCCTTTTCTTGGCTCCGCCCCGTCAACACACTACGAAAGGTTCACGCGTTGTGCGTGACATCTTGGATGCGACCTCCAACACTCCTTATGTTATTTCCATAACTTAAAACCTACCAAGTAACAGTTAGTTGGAAGGCTGTTGGAGTGCGCATCCAATATGTGCTAGAGCGCTGTTAGCCAGTTAGTTGTAGAACGTAGTGGCGAGTACCGTCGGTCAGTGTCGTGCAATGTTATCGCATGAGCTGATTGTTTAGTAACTGATCGTGTAGGTGGACAGTATAGCGTAACTTGTAGTGCCTTGGTCTTTCTCTTTTGTATAAATTAAACCTTGGCTTTCCATCTGAATCCATTCCTGCACGCCTGATGAGCCATCATTGGCACATCCATCGTATTCAGCTGCGCGTAATGATAAGATGCACAGAAATGAAAGTCGGGAGGGCAGGGACACTGTTGAGATTCATAACTGACTGAAGATGTCAAGAAAACAAACGACCATATAGAACACACCAGATGCCATATTTGCAGCCGACAATGAATCATTAAGAATTACGAGCCTCTTTGGCTTCTTATCTGGCCTCTGATTACCACGTTGATCAGGGTGAGTGGACTGTCTGGCTTAGCTAGGCTACACACTTAGGCACCACGTCACCTTACCTGACAAGAGTTTTGGCTCACCTCGTTGCAAGGTATGGTTCTTGGCGTGTACGTTCTTCAGAAGACCGACTGGTGCACTCTGAAACCCTGCAAAGCAAAGAGATTTAATCAATAGGACTTCTTTCTCGTCTGGGAGGCAGGTGAACCACTGGCTTGAAACGACTCTCTCTGCAACGCGCTTCTATGGTTCACCTTGTCTAGCTTACTACGGTATAATGATGAACAGTTCTCATCTCTACCTACTACAATCACTGGTTCAGGCTTGGGAGATATAAAAGTTTCAGGCTTGGCAGCCATCTCAACTTCAGATTTGACTGAGGTCATTGCTATAGGCTCTACATATTCCAAGGGATCTCCGGTCAATCCTCCATACACACTGTTTTTTTCCCAGTTGATGCTCCATTATTACCAACAACAGCCTTACTGGACAGCTGAACTCGGGCCCTTCCGCGTCCTTTTGGCGGAAGATGACGACGAGCGTTCCCCACAGACTGGATTTGTCTCGAGGAGGTATTACATGTTACACTGTACAGGATTTATGTCGACGACGTTTCACTGGGTGGCTGCGACATACACCCGGCGTTCACGTCCACACTGGCAATAGCTTGTACAGATGAGTGTGTGTCACGCTGGCTCTGCGCACACACAGCGATTTCGGAAAACTTGGGTCTGGAGCCTGGGGTGCTACCTGTGGATGATCTGAATGAGGCATCCAGGGCAGCAGCTTCTTCACGATCACGCTCTCTTTTATAAATGCTCCCTTCTTCCTATCTTTCTGTACGGGGCCACTGCTTTGCATTTCTTGCTTAGTAAATCTCTTGTACATGCACTAGAAATACATCATGAACGTGTGTTGAAAATTATTTTTTGTAAACCCTCTCTTTTCCCCTCTACTGATCTATAGCTTGGCATCCACCAGCCCCATCCCTATCCTGTCGCCAAAACAGTCATGGGTTCTGGTCCATCGTATTTTAAGGGGGCAGCCTACCCATAAATTTCATATGGCATTCAATTGACCGTAACTTTGGTGTTTCTCGATGGATTTGAGTGAAATTTTGACCACACACTCCTGCCACTATGCTGGCCCTCAGGACATGATTTACAAGTTCTTGCGCCTCGCTGACAGGCTTTCGAGGCCGGAAAAACTCAAATTTCCTGCATAGTGCCACGGTGTGCGAGCCACCCAGGAGCCAAACAAATGCATTTATAATTTTTTCACATTTTCGTGCTCATTCTGTTCGTGCGCGGGACTCAAACCTAGAACAAGTCCAGAAGCAGCCATGGGTGATGGGGTAGGGCCCCTCAACGAGGCCCTGGAATCTGTCACAACGGAACGAGTGGGCGTTCTCTCACACACTCCCACAGACCCAAGTCAATTTTTGAATTTTTTTAGGTTTAGCACGTGCTACGAGGTCGTACCTTTGATACAACATCCAGTGCTGGGACCTCCACAGCAAGTTATTTCCACAGCGCTGCACACCAAATCCAGGATACCCTCAGAAGCCGGCAAAGACTACCACTCACGTTTCACTACTGCCTAGTATTGAATCCTACCTGACTTCTTGACGCGACTCAAACTTGCCAAAGTCACTAAATCAACGTCAACTACAATAATCAAGCCACATATCTGCGACGTCACAAGGGTGCTGGCAAAAGTTCTGCTGTACGGCGGCGGGCTTCGCCCGCCGCCGTGCAGCCCAATACGTGGCTCAAATACCTGATTTTTTGGACTTGGAGCAAAATTCTGCACACTTTCATGTGTTTCCATAATACGACAAGTTGCGCAAGGTCTGCTCACATTCAAATACAGTTCTGCCAACAAATGACAGCGTGCAACAAAAAAATCTTTCCTTGCCAGGGGCCATAACTCTTGAACGGCCGGTCAGATCGGGACACAATTTTCAGAGAATTTGCAGCTATTCATGCTCTTTCAACTGACGTAGCACTCAATATGAATTTACAAATTCGATTTTTCAGCGAATTTTTGGGTAGTCTGCCACCTTAACTGAACAGTGTCCCTGAACATCTCAGCAAGTTATTGGTTTACTTTCGCACGAGACACTCGCAATGGCATAGTACTTCCCAGAGCTTTGTCAACTATGCTTACCAAATCTCCTATTTTCTCTGCATACTCGTATTGGCCCCAGCTGCCCATGAAAATGAAAGCAATATCCAATATTAGACAGTTCATAGACCATGTTAAATGTCATGCCACCTTGTAGGCAGGCTCGCCTCTTTTGCTAGCTTATCTCGCCGTTCCCAACCACGGTCAACACAGTGATAAAATTTCACCCCGCTGATGCATTCTTTTCTTTCTTTCTTTTTCATTCGCTGGTAGCAGAGCGCTAACCCAGAAACAGCTTGGTAATCAACACATAGCTAGGAATAGACATGCATCAATAGTCACAGGTGACAGTAAACAGACCTGGACAAATAGTCTGGAATTTGATTCCATTTGCACATTAGTGGTAACCAATTATGCCGTTCAGACAAATCTGGAAACTGGCATGCCCCTGATGGCGTGGTCTGCTGGCTAGAGTACAGCAGTATGGTTGCTTGTCTAAATAGATGACATTGCTGGAGGCGTGGAAGACACTTCCTATATGCAGTCTGCTTGGTCCTCAGTACCTTCAGTGCCAGTTTTTTCTAGTTTTCATCTCTTCTCGCTCCACATACACCGACATAACGACATGGACCCAGACAACAGCGACAGGAGCACACAGAGTGATGGTAGTAGGCCGCAGCCAGACGTGAACCGTGATGCAGAAGAAAACTAGGAGCAGCAACAGGGGGACAGACCCCAGGAGGAAAGAATGAGTACATTCAGCTTACATAAAAGAGCCAGGACAAGCACCACTTGGGACCGTCAGATTAATTTCTCTGGACCGAGCCAGCCGGGAAAAAAACCTCGCGCCGACAGACGCACGAATGAGGGAAAAAACCGGGTGTATAACCCCAAGTGGCAACATGGCAGCGTGAAAACAGGCACAACATATCTACAGCCAATAAAGAAATGGAAGAAGATGGGCAGACATGAAGGGTGGGAGGGTGTAGACACTGGTGAGGCACATAACGGGCGAGAGATTATAACATCACTGCTTTGCGTATTATACTGATTCAGGCTGGTCGGACACATCTGTACTTCAGCTTTGGTTGTGCCCTGGTTGTTCAGTGGGAGTCCTGTTCGGCTTACTCATCACTTGCACATGTCCAGAAAACAGTGCGGACTGGCCCTTTTTCAGGGTTTCGTTCTTCGCGTGTACCTCATTGACAATACTGAGTAACGCACCTTGAAGCCCTGCAAAGCGATTGGATTCAGGCTTCTTTCTGGCCTGAAGGGACGGCGATTCACTCGATGGGAACAACGCACTCTGCAACGAATCACTATCACTATCCCTCATCTTCTGCTTAGATCCAGGTTGGTCGGTGGGAGTCAACGTCATTCGTACATATGGGGTAGTAGGCGGCCCTGTTGATGCTCCACCATTTCCAGCACCAGCCATGTTTGGAGGCTGTGCTCGGCCTCTTCCGCGTCCTTTTGGCGGGAGACGACAACGAGCATTCCCCGCAGACTGGAGTTGCCTCTCTTTCAAGGTTTCGTTCTTGGCGTGTATTTCAGTTACAAGGCCGAGTAGCGCACTCCGAAGCTCTGCAAACCGATTGGATTCAGGCTTCTTTCTGGCCTGAAGGGACGGCGACTCACTCGATGGAAATGAGGCACTCTGCAACGAATCACTATCACTATCCCTCATCTTCTGCTTAGATCCAGGTTGGTCGGTGGGAGTCAACGTCATTCGTCCATATGCGGTAGTAGGCGGCCCTGTTGATGCTCCACCATTCCCAGCACCAGCCATGTTTGGAGGCTGTGCTCGGCATCTTCCGGGTCCTTTTGGCGGGAGACGACAACGAGCATTCCCCGCAGACTGGAGTTGTCTCGAGGATATGGTAGAAGTTAGACTTGATGGCTGTGACCCAGTTGATGCTCCAACATCACCATCTGACGCTTGTTTCTACGACATTCAAGAGAAAACAAAGGGCAAAGACAGGCAATTCAGTGACCCAGTCGAAATTCAGTGCATCACTTTACCACATTGGTTGCGATGACGTCATATTGACAGTGATTCTCTTACCCTCATGATATCAGTCAAAACTGTGCAGAACTATGCAGAAGTACTCATAGATTATAATTTATACAGTCATGTACATATCCTGCATTTGCATATAACGCCTTTTTGCATGTGTATTGTTGCGAAAGTACACTGAACAAGACTTTAGTGTACTTTGTATTGTTGAGGCAGCGAAATGGAATAATAAAAACCAAAGCAAACAGGAGTGTGTGTCTGTGTGTGTTTGTGGGTTTGAGTGTGTATGCGCGTGCGTGTATGTGTGTGAGTGTGTGTGTGTGCGTGTGAGTGTATGGTTGTGTGTGTGTGTGTGTGTGTGTGTGTGTGTGTGTGTGTGTGTGTGTGTGTGTGTGTGTGTGTGTGTGTGTGTGTGTGTGTGTGTGTGTGTGTGTGACTGTGTGTGTATGTGTGAGTGTGTCAGTGTGTGTATCTGTTTTGTGTTTTTGTGTGTGGATGTGTGTTACTCTGTGTATGTGTATGTGTATGTGTGCGTATGTGTGTGTGTGTGTGTGTCTATGGTCTGCTATACATACTACTACTGCACACGCATATTGTAGACAGGCATCATTGGTCACATAACCAAACCAAATTTCGGCGTAGAGAGTGGAATACGTGCTGGCATCTACGCTATAGTCATTTCTAGACTTGGACGTGCACACAAGTTGAGCAGGTGCTTATGATGATGGTTACTAGTGGGTGTAGGGTGTGGCACATCAGTGTTGAATTCTCCAAGCACAATAAGTCTACAGTCGCTGCTTGTTACCGCCTCAAGATGCTGGCTGTACAGGTCCCAAAAATGAACAGCAGTACTGGGTGAACGGTACACACTGCACACAACAAATTCCGTGGCCTTTGGCGCTAATACGTACACGGACAAACAAGCACTCCACTCCTGCGTCAGCAACTGGTACTGACACTTAGTGAATGTCAGAATGGACGTAAAGGTAAACTCCACCAACCTGTTAATCTAGGTCTCTGCGGTACAGATTATAGCCTGGAATATGCACGCTGGAGTTAGGTATGCTGCTATCAATATGAGTTTCGTTTTAAATAGATAAGATGTGAATTTTATGAGCATACAAGAGGCGATGGATGTGGTGTATTTTATGGCTAAGACTACATGGGTTGATATGATCAATGGTGTGGTAGCTTACCGTAGGTAGGTCCGGTGCTCTCAGTACGCGAGGAACAAATGACGCTGCATTTGGATTCAGCGGTACGTGTGACTGGGCTAACGCGTTCTTCGACAATAAATTTCTTAGACCTTCAACGCCACGCTCCTATGATTGAACCATGAAAAACAAACAAACGCAAGGAGATCATCAGAATCAACTACATCCGCCTGTGTTTACTCACCCTCAGTGCAGTTATACCAGTTGCTAGCGTCGGAGATACGGATCTACAGTTGCAAGTCGCCTGTGTCGCTGTTCAGTCATCCGGCCAGTTGGTTCTCCAACAGTACACTGATAGTTCATTTGCACTGTAAAATTTGCAGGCCTACTTCCAGTGTAAATGTGAAAAGGGGGCATCGTGAACGTTGCCGTTATACGACTCGCTCTTACAAGTCAGTCTTTATACAATGTCTGGCCTTGGACAATTTATAATTTCATTGCTATCACGTTCGGTCTCATTTTCTCTGTGCTGCGCTGATTAGCCCACAAATTACGCAACAGTTCTGTTCGCAGATTCAGTACAATGTCATGTACATGGAGATGAGCACATTGACCATCTAACTCTAAAACTAGCAAAGAAGTAATACTGCACCAAACTACGTATGGTGCACATTCCCTTTCAAGTGTAAGCACAAGATGGTCATTATCTACATAGTGTCAGTAACCAAGATTATTCATTTACTCATTTAACGCACAAATTACGCAACAGTTTTGTCCGCACATTCAGTACAATGACATGTCATGTAGATGAGCACATTGACTATCTAACTCTAAAACTAGCAAATTAGTAATACTGCACCAAACTCAGATACGTATGGTGCACATTCCTTTTCAACCATAAGCACAAGATGGTCATTATCTACATAGTGTCAGTAACCAAGATTATTCATTTATTCAAAAGCATTCGATCTCGAGGGCACCATGTACCAGATAACTGACACGCAACTGCTAAATATCTTATTGGTGACAACATCTTCCCACGAGCCATTTTGGAACATAAAAATACACGGCAGCAGAGTGCAAGATATGAAGAAGAAAAAAAGCCGAGCCTCAAACTCATGAGAGTCAGATGACGTTTGAATACTCAATAAAAGCAGTCGCTGAGAACCTTGTTTGAAGGAATGAAAATGTACTCACCTGAAGGCGGGGAGGGTCACTGTCACTATTCCGCGGTGTTCTCTTGGATGCGTACATTTCGAAATACCAGGTGCTGACAGAGGGTCTGCTAAAACACTTCTTCGAGGTTGTCACACACGGAGTAAGTTGTAGCTTAGAAAACCGTGATTTCGAGGAATAAAACAGCAGTGAAGAAGGAGTCTTTCAAATTGCAAAGTGCACGTAGATCAGCTCTATATACGCTGTAGATCTACAACAAAACTAGTCTCATGAAACTACAGGTCAGAACTGTAAACAGCTAGTATTGAATCAACACCAAACGTAACCGATTTCTTCTTCACTACTGACTTGTGTAACCAACGTAACTGCGAGAATGCTAGTTCCCGCGCTCACCTTTATACCAGGTTTTAGGCGTGGGTAAAGCACGCCCGCACGACCCGCGACGACTAGAATCTGAGCGTACATGTACGTGCAAGCCATAGAAAGGAGCAAGATCAAAGTATCCCACTGGGCCTCGCCATTATTGTTTGTCCATTGTGCTCTACGTTGCCAAGGGCCCATTGACGTCACACCATTAAAATAGTTAGCAGCTTGATGAGTCACGTGCATCTATTGAGTATTGTAGATCTAGGTGAGCTTGAGTGCTTTATCATAGTTATGCAGTCTATGTCAGCTCGCGCTGCACTTCACCCTCTCAGAAAACAGATCCATCATGACTGCATCCTGCATGTAATGCGAAGTGTGTGTGGTGATGGGGATCCTAGGGCGACCTGCCGATGTGGTGATCTTGACTTTTGCCTTAATCGCTTCAAAGCCCGTGAAGATTCTAAGCATCGCCGAATCGTGCGTGGATTGCACGAACTCAGGGTCCAGAAGTCAAACGTGTCAGAAAAAGTCGAGATTGGAAACTAGGCTTCTGCCGTTCGGCAGATCATTTTCACAAACGTAGCAGTCAAGAAGAAGACAGTCTTGTTTCGTGTTGAGTTATTCCAGTATTACTTCTGTACTATCCGTGCGTGTACTCGTGTACGAGACTAGTTTTCCTTTACATCTACAGCGTGTGTAGAGTAGATCTATGGCCCGTGCATACAGTGACAGTACAGACACTCTTCACCAGCCACGCTACGAATGCCAACCATTTAGCTTTCGAAGTCTCCGTAGTTCCACTGTTTCATCTCCCAGTGATCATTGTGTAGTTTATGCTACAACTAACTCAGTCTTAGTGACACCTTGCAAAAAGAGACCTTCCGAAGTCGATTTGTTATCAACACGTATTTCGAAATGAAAGTATTGGAGAGACCAACGCGCAGAAGCGACAATGACCAACCTGGGCATCACGTAAGTAAAGTTCATTTCATTAGAGAGGTTGCTCACAACTAAGATTCATAAGATTTCAATCGTCCGGGATCGAGTAACGAAAGTTGCTTCAAAGATCTGTCCAAATGCGACCGAAACAGACCAGATTTATGAAAATGTTTTTCATCCCCAAGAGTACTAAAATTCTAATATTTTGCAACTCCTTTTCTTGGCTCCGCTGCGTCAACCCATTACAAAAAGTAACAGTTCATGAGCTGTGCGTGACATCTAATCTTGGATGCCCACTCCAACACTCCTTATGTTATTTCCATGACTTAGAATCTTGCAAGTATCAGTTAGTTGAAAGGCTGTTGGAGTGCGCATCCAAGATAATTATGCTAGCGCTGTTAGCCAGTTAGTTGTAGAACAACGTGGTAGTCAGAGGCCAGATAAGAAGCCAAAGAGACTCGTAATTCTCGATTATTCATTATCGGTTGCAAATATGGCATGTGGTGTGTTCTTTATCGTCGTTTCTTTTCCTGACTTCTTCAGTCAGTTATGAATCTCAACAGTGTCCCTGGCTTCTTATCTGGCCTCTGATTACCACGTTGATCATGGTGAGTGGACTGTCTGGCTTAGCTAGGCTACACACTTAGGCACCACGGTCGCCTTACCTGACAAGAGTTTTGACTCATCTCGATGCAAAGTCTTGTTCTTAGCGTGTACCTCCTTCAGAAGACCGACTAGTGCACTCTGAAAGCCTGCAAAGCAAATGGATTAGGACCTCTTTCTCGTTTGGGAGGCAGATGACCCACTGGCTGGAAACGACGCTCTATGCAACAACCTTCTACGGTTCACTTTGTCTAGCCTACTAGGGAAAAATGATGGCGAACAGTTCACATCTCTACCTGCTACAATCACTGGTTCAGGCTTGGGAAATATAAAAGTTTCAGGCTTGGCAGCCATCTCAACTTCAGATTTTACGGAGGTCATTGTTATAGACCCTATTTGTTCCGGGCTATCCCTGGCCAGTCCTCCACACACACTGGATTTCTTCCCAGTTGATGCTCAAACATTATCAACAACAGCCTTGCTGGACGACTGTACTGGGCCCCTCCGCGTCCTTTTGACGGAAGATGGCAACGAGCGTTCCCCTGAGACATGATGTGTGTCGAGGAGGTAATAGATGTTTCACTGGACTGGATTTGTGTCGAGGATGTTTCACTAGATGGCTGCGACATTAACCATCTCGCTGCTCCACACTGGCATTACTTTCTGCAGATGAGTTTGTGTCGGGCTTTCTCTGCGCACTCACAGCGCTGTCGGGAACGTTGGGTCTGGAGACTGGCGTACTACCTGAGCATGATGTGAGTGAGGCATCCAGGGCAGCAGCGTCTTTACGATCACGCCGAGCAATCTTGTACTCCCGCCAATCATCTTCCCTCTTTTGGCCATTTTCTTGAGGAGATCTTCATTATCTACCCGTTGTGTGATAATAGATCCTCCAACACTAGCAACAACAGCCTTTCCGGAAGACTGTACTCGGACCCTTCCGCGTCCTTTTCACGGAAGATGACAACGAGCGTTCCCCTCAGACTGGATGTGTCTCGAGGAGGTAATCGATGTTTCAATGGATGGTTGCGACATTGTCCTGGCCTGCTGCTTCACAGTGGCATTACATTGTTCAGGTGAGTGTGTTTCAGGCTTGCTCTGACAAGGTGCACACACAGCACTGTCGGAAACGTTGGTTTTGGAGACTGGCGTGTTACCTGCAGATTATCTGAATGAGGCACCCATCAAAGAACCGTCCTCACACTCCCGTTGAGCCTACTCTTATTTTCGCCGCCTCTCTTCGAATATCTTCGTTGATTTTATAAGATTATAGAGAAAACAATGGAAAAGATAGGGAAAACATTATCCGAGGTAGAAGTATAATTTCATTACTTCACTACAGTGGGTGGGGTGACGTCAAATTGACAGTGATTCTGTCTCCTTCATTATGTGAATCCCAGCCGTGTAGAAATGGGTATAACTGATCACAGGGCATTGCATAAGTACACAGGACCGCGGAGAGACTACCAGTGTAGCCTTTATCGACCTCAGCAAGGCGTTTGATCGCGTCCAGCATCAACAGTTACTCATTGCGCTCCATGGCATGGGTGTTCATGCAAGCGCCCTGCGTTGGTTTGCGTCGTACCTCGCCGGGAGATCTCAGCGTGTCGTCACGCAAGCCAGCCAGTCTTCAAGTCTTGCAGTGTCTCGAGGAGTTCCTCAGGGAAGTATTTTAGGCCCTACCCTCTTTAATGTCTACCTGAGGGACCTTCCCCGGCTTGCTGAGACAGCGGGTTCAAAATTACTGATGTTCGCAGATGACAAGACAGTCTACTCTAGTGATCCGTCGAAGGCGCGTTCCGAAGCCAAGTTGTCATCGGCACTGGAGATACTAAACAACCACCTTGACTCCATTGGTATGCAGATAAATACCGACAAAACCGCTGTCATGCAAATCCATCCCAAACGTGCCACAGGGAGTCAGCAACAACAACAAAGGCAACAACTGCAAATCACCTTGTCAAATGTTACGCTAGGGGAAGTGGAAAGCACCAGATGCTTAGGAGTCGTTGTTGACAATAAGCTGTCCTTTGACCAACACATTAACAAAGTCGTCCGGAAAGCCTCACGGAAGATCGGTGTACTGCGGCGATCTTTCCGCCAGATGAACCTGTTTGCCCGCCGTACTTTCGTTGTCGGTGTTATTCAGCCTGATCTAGAATATGCTCTCCCTGTATACCTTTCGTTTATATCCGCTAAAAATAGAAACAAGCTAGCCTCACTCCACCGGCGCGCTGTACGAGTTGCTTGTGGCGCATCACCCCAAGCTAATATCACGCCACTTCTTCACCACCTCAATGTTTCCTCTTTCCAATATCGATCAGTATTTTTGTTCCTTGTATTCATTTTCCACTGTTACTGTATTAAGCCGGCTGTTTGCTTGCAGTCCCTCTTTCCCATCTGTACGTCTACCCGAACTACTCGCGGCTCTACAACTCATAACATGAGTATCAATCGCTATAGATCTATGTCTGGCTTTCTGTCCTTTTCAAGTAAATCGGCTCTTGTTTGGAATTACAGTGAAACCTGTAACTAACGACCACCCCTTGGTGCCCGGAAAAGTGGTCGTTAGTGGCAGGTGGTCTTTAGTTAGAGGTTTGCACCGCGCGACCATATATGGATCCCATTATATGATATGTATGTCAAAATGCAGATAATACAATCCCCCATGGCCCACCACTTGCGCACTGACATTCTTCTTTCAGATCATACAACACTTGGAGAGAGACAAAATCAAGTTTTTTATACACCGAAAGCGATACGACCTTTTGACACATACATGTATGTCGACTCACTGGTGACTGGGTTTCCAGAGCAGCGCTGGCCTGGCCAGGCAGTGCACTAGTCACTATCGACTCCATCCTCATCTGTGTGCGACTACACTGGCAACTGGTATCAGTGTGTTGATCTGCAGTGGAAACTCAGTCGCTCCGACTTGGATGTAGTGTAGCGTAAACTGTACTAGTGAGTAGTGTGTAGAGGGGACGGTTTCAAATAGGACACCGGTTGCAAACCGGAACGGACTCAATATTCACTTTCTCTCTTGGTATTTTGATTAGAAAACATATGTCACAGTGAGACTACGATGTGTTATACTCCGAGCCAAAATGTCATGGCTCTGCGATGACCAGAAGCGCCATATCAAGCAGGTGAGTTTTT